AAAAAACCTATTACCCAGTGCTATCATGTGACCCCAGGAGTCCTGCCTTTTGAGCACTGGTCCGAAACCTGTTTATATTTCTAGGGTCTCTTCTTGACCAAAATCAGAGCAAGTGAGCCATTTTTGTTTTACTTGTTATTCTTCATTCTAACAACATGGATGCTTCCAGGCTAATCACGGTAGGTCCTCACAGCCAGGTTTGGCTTGGCACCTGCTTACTATTCAGTTGCAGATATAACATTAAAAAAAAATCAACTGTTAAACCACGCATGAACTCACACCTATAACCTCAACACTCCAGAAACTGAGGCAGAAGAATTGCCCTGAGTTTGAGGCCAGCTTGGGCTGCAAAGACCTTGCCTCAAAGCAAACCAAGAAATAGACAAATGACCAAGAAAATAGCAACAAGTATGAGTTACTACAGGGATCACACTTCATTACTGAACTTGGAGGAATTTGCTTTTTACTTGAGTTGTATTGTCTTGGCTTTTCTCTAAACCCAAAGAAGAATATGTGAAACTTTGTCCTTAAAAAAAAAAAAAAGTGTTGCCGGGTGGTAGTGGTGCACGCCTTTAATCCTAGTACTTGGGAAGCAGAGGCAGGCAGATCGTTGTGAGTTTAAGGCCAGCCTGGTCTACAAGAGCTAGTTCCAGGACAGGCTCCAAAGCTACAGAGAAATCTTGTCGAGAGAGAGAGAGAGAGAGAGAGAGAGAGAGAGAGAGAGCGAGCTAGTTCCAGGACAGGTTCCAAAAAAACTACAGAGAAACCCTGTACCCCCCCCCCCAAAAAAAGTGTTTAGTATTAGTACATTGGCTTTCTGGAAGCTGATCTGCCATCCCCTTTGTGCATTTTGTCAAAAATAAAATACTAATAATAACTTTATGCTAGCAAAGCCGGGGATCGAACCAGAAACCTTATGTATGGTAGGTAAATGCCCTGCCACCAAGCCATATTTCTAGTCCAGCAAAAGCATTCTAAAACTACCAACCTAAATAGAATTCACACAGTTCTTCAGACACCTAAAAATGTGCTCGGGTCTTTTGTTGACCCCTTCCAGGCATTCTCAGGCCATCTGTCCAACGTTATCATTTGGGCTGTAATTCCCCCATGTTACAGAAGTGATTGCCACAATTGGTTCCTCCCAAAACAGACATCAGCAAGAACATTTCAGTTTTCTCCCACACAACTTTAATATGTACAGTGACTAAAATGAAAATTAAATTTGAAACTTATGTAGGAATTTTGAAAGCAATAATATTTGTACTTTAAAAATGTTACCACCTCTGGCTCTTTGGAAGCTCCTTTGACTGAGGTGAGCCTCAAACCCATACCCTTGTGAACCCTAGGCAAGTGCTTTGCCACTGAGCCACACCTCCAGCCCCCCCCCTTCTTGCTTTTAAGATCCCAGTTTTAAAGTCTGGACCTTATTGAGAATAAAGCAATTTACAAACAGGACTTTAACAACTCAAGTTAGCATTATGGGTCTCTTTGCTTCTGATGTTGTGACAAGCTGGATTCAAAAGATATTTAGGACCGAAACCAAGGTGAGCAGGGGTGAGTCTCACCAAAGCCATGTTCCGAACTAAGAGTCACAACCAATAGTCTGGAGTTTTGCGATATATGTTATTTCTCCATACTTTACAGAATTATATAAAAATATGACATGCAGTTACATTCTTCTGTAGAATCCTAGCCTCAGGCTGTAAAACACAACTACTCTATGCTCTATGGTACGCCAACCGGGAACTAGGCTGGAGACTTAAAAACACGTGCACACAGACAGAGACATGGGGACACGAGTCATCCTTGATACAAGAATGTCAACTTATATAGGGATCCTTAACTGATAGTCACACCCCAGCTTTCGAGATCTTTCAGCTGCAGGTCTCACCAGAACTCACTCCCCTGCCATTAGGGTCTCGTGCTCAGAGCAGCTGCAGGCACAGGAAAACAAGTTGTTTTGCTCAGCTCACTCAAGCAGGCAAAGGGTCTGAGGCAGGCAAAGAAAGTCAAGGGGCCAGGGGTCTGCAGCCCCCAACATCAGGCTATACCTGTAAGTAGTCCTCTCCCTTCTCCTCCTTATATAACCATCTTCTTATGTCAAAACTATCTGTTATTTTTATCTCAGCTAATAGTTTTTTGTTTGTTTGTTTCGAGACAGAGTTTCTCTGTGTAACAACCCTGGCTTTCCTGGAACTCACTCTGTAGAACAGGCTGGCCTCAAACTCACAGAGAGCCACCTGCTCTGCCTTCCGGAGTGCTGGGATTAAAGGTGTGCACCGCCACCTCCTGGCTTCAGCTAAAAGTTTTTATGCTTCGAATATGCACACAATAATAAGTGCAATGGAGACATGCTGAAAGCACAGTGGTGTGCACATTTTTAGAGGGGGTATAAATTTATGGGGAGAAGCTTAGGGGGAAAGAAATTGGCGATCAGGGAACTGGAGAAACGCACTACTGTGCTTGCTTGTTTCCCACTCTCTGCATTACAGGTATTCGGTGACTTTATTTGATCAAGAAAAAGTAAAAATGTAAAAGACATTTAGGAAACAGCGGAGAACCTGTTTCATTCTACCTTCAAAATCTATGCATCATTGGGATTTCTAGCACAGAGAAAGAACTGGTCAGTGCCATACAGTCATGTTGTTCCAGGACCACAAAGGAAGAAGTTCAAAGGTCACTGGGGCCACAGCTGACCTTTTTCCATTTTACTTGTGTTAAGTTTAAGAGAGTCTCCGAGGGCCTGAGTGCACTGTTCTCTGTGTGTGTCGCCAAGCCCAGCTCAGTTTTACAAGACTTAGCACAGTGCTCATGCTAGAATGAAAATCCCTTTAAAACTAAAACACGAAAGTCCCTTTAAAACTAAAACAGAGAGCGGTAGGGGGATTTTAAACATCTCGGAAGGAGATGCTGCCTCTGATGCTCTTCCTAGGCATTCCTTCTGTTCCTTGTAAGACTCTCCCCGATTTAAAAAATGTGACTTAAAAAAGGCCCATTATTTACCCTATTAGGATGAATTTATTCATTTATCTATTCTTAAACTTTTTTTTTTTGAGATATAGTCTCTTTCTTTTGCCCAGGCCAGCCTGGAATGCACTCTGTAGCCCAGGCTGGCCTTGAACTCACGACAGTCTTCTTGCCTCGGTTTCTCACACGCTGGAATGACAGATGGGAGCTGTCTGCCTGCTTCTCCAATAAGTCTACTTTGTACCCATTTTCAAGACCTTTTTTCTCCCTGAGACAGGGTTTCCCTGTGTAGCCCTGGCTGTCCTGGAACTCACTCTGTAGACCAGGCTGGCTTCAAACTCAGAGATCTGCCTGCTTCTGCCTCCCGAGTGCTGGGATTAAAGGTGTGCGCCACCACTGCCCAGTATCCTTTCTAAAGGTCACATCTTTATTTATGGAACGTGGAATTGTTCTGATGAGCAGTGTGAGGTACACACAGGACTTGTTTTTCCTGAGACACCAATACATTCCCAACATGGCTAGTGGTTAGTGCTCCAGTCCTCCACAGAGCTTGTGACTCTGTTTTTTTTTTTTTTATCAGTGTGGAGTTTTACTCATATGAGACTTCCTCCTTGGGCCTTTCTAGTCTATTCCCTAGGCTCAGCTCTTCTTCAGCCAACATGATGATGCTGTGCTCATATGAGACTTAAGCTTTTTTGTATCTGATATGGCAGTTCTCATTAAAAAACAAAAACAAAACCCACCTTGTTATAGTTATTCTCATCCGTAAAGATGAAATTCAGAACTGGAAGCAGCTTCTGAATCCCATGGAATTTTGCTGTTCACGGGTTCAGCCCTCTGACCCAGTATAATGGTGTGTCTCTGGTCTCCTTTACGCAAAGGCTATTTAACTTGTCAGCAGTTGTGGTCTAGGAAACTTATCGTGGCCCCCATAAAGCCTCACTCCCATCAGCACTCTGGCCCAGGCTACGGCTGGTGGATCCCGGCCCTTGCTATTTTAGACGTCTTTTGCTGTCATGGTGGGTGCTGCCGTAGTGACACCTTGTCCTCCTTGGTGCCTAATCTTGTATGATAAGAATTTTCTTTTCTTTTTTTTTTTTTTTTCTGATTTATGTGCACCCGAGGGCTCCTGGTACCTCACGTGTCCGTCTTGACAGCCTGGCATACTCTTTAAAGCTCTGCTTTGGAAGGTAGCTCTGATGGAAATGGACTAACTTCAGTTTCTGCCTTTTGGAGAGTGGGTGCCCATGAGATCGGGAGCGCTTAGACAGAGTGGCTCCTCCTGCTGGCAAGCCCTTCGGTGCCACCTGATACTTGACTGTGTATGAAATACTTCAGTTTTGCTTTAAATACTGGCAGCAAGAGCCAGCATTCGGGGTTGGGGATTTAGCTCAGTGGTAGAGCGCTTGCCTAGCAAGCGCAAGGCCCTGGGTTCGGTCCTCAGCTTCAGAAAAAAAAAAAAAAAAAAAAAAAAAAAAAAAAAAAAAAAAAAAAAGACAAAATAACAAAAAGACCAAAAAAAAACAAGGTAACTGGCACACACAACCTTTTTCATTTTCAGAGATCCCCCGCCCCCCAGGACATTTTCCTGGCTGGGGGCAATATTTATTATTTGTCCTTCAGGATGTCGCAGTATCAAATCGGTTCCAGCCCACAGAAGAGTCTTCTGTGGGGTGTGCAGATGTAGTGATTGACAGCCGGGTGACAGCTGAGGCTGCTGGATGCTCCACCCTCCTCCATGTTGCCTGCAGCTGGGGCCTTTCCTCCACTTCCTGGGAATGGTCCTGTGCTAGATCTTTGATAATTTTTCTCATTTCTTTAAGACCTACGTTTGTAAATTCGGTCCCATTTGTTTGGTTTTTGAAAATAAAAGCTGGTTTCGCCTGGGCCCCGCGCGCGGCACAGCGAAGCATCCCTGCACGGCCGGACCCGCCCCACTCTCAGAGGAGAGGGAGGTGCCTGGGAGGAGGAGCGGGGTCTGCCCATGCGCAGTAAAGATTTTATTTTTATTTTATTTTTTTTGGCTTCTTTCGCTTGCCGTCCTTACCCGCCGTGCTCCGCGCAGCACACGTGGAAGTGGCTTCCTCCAGCTGACAAGCCGGGCGGTTGTAGCCGTTCCTCGCCGGCTGGCGACTACTACACAGAATGGCAGAAGTGCGAGAGCCCGGGGAGAACCGGGCCGCTGCCATGGCTGTGGAGCAGGACATGTTCGACGCCGTCGTGATGGCGGATGAGAGGTAGGCAGCGGCCCAGTTCCGCCCCGCCCCGGCAGCTGCTTGGCGGAGTCCCGCTGTCCTCGGGGACACCCGCCTTCGCCATCTGCGAGCTGCCACATCTTCTTGTTCTTTAATTGCTGCACATACGGCAGTATTCATGGACCTGCTGATGGATGTGTCGGGCAGGCCCCTTTGGATGTGGAAAGTTCCCCGGGGAAATGCCTGGGCGGAACGGTGGTCCAGGGCATCTTGGCCTTTCCTGGACGGCTGCTCACCTCTCCGGGGTGACTGCTCGATCTCTGTTTAGGGAGTGGGGTCCTGACATCTGTGAAGGCAGAAGAGCTCCCCAGGCCACCCACCTGCCAAGTGGGGAGCTGTTCACCCCTCATGGGGGCTTCCAGAGCATTCCTTCCACAGTGCAGACTTCAAGTTACTGCCAATTTTTGGTTGATTCCTCAGAGACAATACCATCTAGTCAGAGCATCGTAGTGCTGGCATACTGTGATGATCTTTCGGATATTTTCTGTTACTCCTGCATCCTGGGGGTGTTTTAGAAACAGAGACTTGAGTTAGGATGGCATGTAGGCTCAGCTACACCGACTCTTTTTGAAAAGTAGATTTCTAGTGTGGACTAAGCTTGCTTGAGTTTGTATTTTTACATTTTTCTTGTGGGTTCTTGTGCTCTGCCGGTTTGAAAGTCACTCGTGAATCCTACCCACGGTTGGGTCCCTAGGGGTTGGGGCTGTAGCTCAGTTTGTACAGTGCTTTTCATAGCATGCATGAAGCCCATACGCATCATGGTTTCACATGGAGGTGGTGGCACACACCTGTAATCTCAGCATTCAAGAAATGGGAAGAGCCGGACGGTGGTAACGCACGCCTACGCACGCCTTTAATCCCAGCACTTGGGGGGCAGAGGCAGGTGGATCTCTGTGAGTTAGAGGCCAGCCTGGTCTACAAGAGTTAGTTCCAGAACAGGCTCCAAAGCCACAGAGAAACCCTGTCCCGAAAACAAACAAACAAACAAAAAACCCCAATAAAACAAAACAGCAACAACAACAAAAAAGAAATGGAAAGAGTTACTTGACGGAGGTTGGCGTGGGCTGCATAGTGAGAGCTGTCTCGGCAATGGGGCTGAAGCACAATAATGGGCCAGAGAGAAGAAGAGCTAGACCTAGAACCTGCATAGTGAGAGCTGTCTCAGCAATGGGGCTGGGGCACAATAATGGGCCAGAGAGCAGAAGAGCTAAACCTAGAACCTACATAGTGAGAGCTGTCTCAGCAATGGGGTGGGGCACAGTAATGGGCCAGGGGCACAGTAATGGGCCAGAGAGCAGAAGAGCTAGACCTAGAACCTGCATAGTGAGAGCTGTCTTAGCAGTAGGGCTGGGGCACAGTAATGGGCCAGAGAGTAGAGAGCTGGGATTAAAGGCACGTGCCACCACCTGGCATGACTTGAATTTTAACCCTTTCTTCCTGTATTCTGCTGTGTCCTGTGGGAATCTAGATAATGTAAGGTGGGAAGATTTTTCAAGGAACAGTGTCTTACCTGATGAAGTGTGTTTCTCTGTCACAGATTCCATGGGGAGGGATATCAGGAAGGCTATGAAGAAGGCAGCAGCTTGGGGATCGTCGAAGGAAGGCAGTATGGCACATTACATGGAGCCAAAATTGGATCTGAGGTAAGTGGGAGGGCCACTTAGAAAGAACTTCATAGATGAGTGTAGTGATCCATCCTCTGTCACAGGGGATCCATTCTGCGATCCCAGACTCAGAAAACTGAGGCAGGAGTCCTAGGCCAGCCTGGGCTAAAGAGTGAGCTACTGCCTCAAAAAACAGATGCTGAGGAAGTAGCTCAGTGGCAGAGGATGTACCCAGCATGCTTAGCCATAACTTTGAAACATTGCCTAGAGCAGCAGTTCTCAACCTAATGCTGCAACCTTTGCAAACAGTTCCTCATGTTGTGGTGGCCCCCCAACCATAAAATTATTTTGTTTCTACTTCATAACTATAATATTGCTACTGTTATGAATCATAATGTATACATATCTGACATGTGACCCCAAAGGGGTCAAGACTCAAGTTGAAAATCAGTGGCCTAGAGGAAAAGAACAAAGGCATGGATCATTTTCCTCTACAGTTGCTTCCTTTGCTGTTGAAGCCAAAGCATCTAATCACTTCCTACTGCAAGGCCTTTGGTGGGGATTCATAGACCAGACAGAAAATTCTTAGCACAGAACCACCAAAGTATGTTATAGGAGTAGCACAGTGCTGTCTTGCGTCTTCAGCCAGCTCAGTCCTCACCCAGAGGGGTGCCATGTTTACAGTGGAATTCCATAAGCCCCATAGTTTTTCTCCTCTTGCCTTTGTCCTCTTACAGATCACTGACCCTGACTGGCTGAGGAGGTCATGACAGTATCAGGTACCTGATGCCACGAAACAGACTGGTGGGCCTAAAACAACCATCTTTGGTTATGTCACACAGTGTCTGACGGTCAGCAGGGCTCCAGTCTCATTTGCAGGCTTGGCTGGACCAGGGAATCTCTTCCCGAGGTAGCACACCCTGTAACTGGTGTCCTTTGCTCAGGTGTCCTCATGACACCCCAGAGCAAGTAGCCTGTGAGAACAAGACAGAAGTGGCATTGCTTTTTCTACCCAGCCCCAGGAACTAGACAACTCTTTCTTCCTCTGTGTCCTCAGAAGCTGAGCACACTCCTCTCCTCTGTTCTGTTGTGCATACATGAACCCGGGACAAGGGGCAAGGAGCCAGCCCACAGCATCATATAGAGGATGAGCATCACTGCTGTCATTTTGGGGCCTGGCTCACCCGCTGGGGTTGTCACCATTCAGTTTCCATTGCCCAAAAACTCAAAGGTTCCAGAATAGCTGAAGAAGCCTTGTGGCAGCCCTCTGTCCGGCCCTGAGCTTTGAGATCTTGGTAACTGGTGTGGTGTGGCTGATTGCTTACCGCCTTCACTCTGGGCTGGTTTTCAATTCACAGATTGGGTGCTACCGTGGCTTTGCTCTTGCATGGAAGTATCTCCTACACAGTGGTGCATGCGAGAAAGACAGGTGAGGCTGAGGCTCCCTTTCTCCTTTCCTCCCCACCCCTTTCCCTTCCACCCCTTTCCCTCCCCCCCCATTTTCCTCCCACCTCCCATCAGCATGCCATCAGTGAAAAGGCCGGGAGGAACTCTGAGTGTTCCTAATGTGTGCATAGGTATCTGTGTCATTCATTCATACAGAAAATAGTAATGGCCAACTTGACTTTGTTATTCAAAGAATAATAAGTAAAATGTGACAGGTACCTCATGGGTACTTGATGAGCGCTGTGTGATGTCACACCTAGGGTAATGTCAGGTGGATCCTATTTCCTGTCCATTTCTCACTTAGGCGTCTGATAACAGACTGCAGTACTGTCAATGAAACGAGGCCTCGGAAATGCTGGCTGTGCCAGACGTGGTGGTGTACGCCTTTATTTCAGCAGAGACAGGCAGATCTCTATGAATTCAAGGGTAACTTGGTCTACATAGGAGTTCCAGTACAGCAAGGACCAGAGAGGAGAAAAAGAAAGAAATGCTGGCTTTGTTGTCCATGGTGTCTCATAGCCAACCAGAACACAGTATTATCTTTTTGGGAGGCAGGGGCTTATATTATGGCCCAGACTGGCCTTTAGCTCACAGCCATCCTTCTGTCTCAGCCTCTTATATCCTGGGCTCACAGACATGTACCACCACAGCCAGCCAGAAGTCATCCTGAAGTCATCCTTTTTGTAACACACACAGTTCCTAGTGATTGTCACTGTTCTTTGAGCTGTGTTAGCTTTGGTACCTTGCCTTACTGTGTTCTTCCCGCCTTGGTCCTGTGAGCTGCCCCATCTGCCTGCTTCCCGAGGCTGGGAGGGAGCCCTGAAGTGAAAGGCATATTTCCCTCGTGTGCAGAAGCATAGGGTTAGGCTGGCATTCTGTAGTCTTCCTATAGCTCCTGGCCTGGTATAGGAGGGCCCAGAGGAGGGTATTAGCAAACCAAGCAAAGAGGATGGCAGCTCCCTGCCTGTAGGACTCACCCTTTTGTTTGACACTTTGAGTGTCTAGGACTCATACCACGCTCATATTCAAAAGTAAGAACAAGGTATTTGTGACTAATTGTGGGGTTCTGGGGTTCTCGCTCTGATTATCCACTACATGATTTACTGGCTTCTCTTTGTTTTTTGAGACAGGGTTCCTCTGTGTAGCCCTGGCTCTCCTGGAACTTGCTCTGTAAACCAGGCTGGCCTCAAACTCACAGAGATCTGCCCACCTCTGTCTCCTGAGTGCTGGGATTAAAGGAATTCATACTATGCGGCATTTTTTTTCCTTTTTCCTCCTTTTGTGAAATTTGAGACAAGGTCTATTTAGTCCAGACTGTCCTGGAACTCATTATTTAGATCAGGCTGGCCTCAAACTCAAAGAGATCGGACACTGGAGAGATAGCTCAGAGGTTAAGAACACTGACTGCTCTTCCAGAGGTCCTGAGTTCAATTCCCAGCAACCACATGGTGGCTCACAGCCATCTATAATGAGGTCTGGTGCCCTCTTCTGGCATGCAAGCATACATGGAAGGAATGTTGTATACATAATAAATAAATAAACTTTAAAAAAACAAACAAACAAAAAAAACCTCAAAGAGATCCTTCTGCCATTGCCCTCTGAGTGCTGGGAATAAAGACTTGGGTCACCATGCCTGGCTCTCTATTTGTGTTTTTAGTGTGAGCAGGTGAGAGGCAAGGTCCTTAACTTCGTGGCTTTAGGAGTGGCCAGGCCGACTGATCCTGGAGGAATGATGTTGGCTATTCATGCCACCACTGGTGGCAGTTACAGCCGAGACCGACTGCCATCCTTTTGCGGTGGTCTCCCTTGCTCCAGCCTGCAGTTCCCCAGGTGGGGGTAGGGGCCCTGTGGTGAGTGGTTGCTCTACAGCAGGTGGAGGCCAGCACTGCCAGGAGCAGAGAGGCAGCTTAGCCTGCCCACTGCTCTGAGATGTGATGAAGGATGGAGTAGGGCCTTGGGTGACAGCCTCTCTCCCCCATGCATCGCAGCAGGAAGATGAAGGTGGTGGAGGCGCTGATCACACTGCTGCAGCACTTCCCCTTTGATGACCCCACCTACGAGAGGCTCCATGAAGACCTGGACATAATCAGAGGGAAATTCAGACAGGTTTGTGCTCCATAGCCTCTGTCTGGGGTGTGCCTGAGTGCACTGTAACAGCAGGGCGGGTGCAGGCCTTAAGGTTTGTGTGATGGCTGTGCTGGGCAGCATGTGTCCGGGCCTCATTCCCCTGCCCCTTGTAGGAAGACTGAGATAGGCTGGGGACGGTGTGTTGACATTGCCTGTGGGGTGGTGCTGGGATAGGGAAAGTGGGGCTAGCAGAGGTGTGTCCTCAGCCTGACAGAAGTCCAGGGGTGTGAGACTCTGTTGGTGAGACACCATCTCTTGGGTACTTTCAGCTATGCTCACTGCTCAACGTGCAGCCAGACTTCAGGGTGACCGCGGGAACCTCCAGACTTGCGTTTTGAGGACTCAGAAGAGCAGATGTCTGCACATATAATGTCAGTGATTAAAGGCAGCCTGAGTGGCCCTCATTGTTCTGTGAGAGGACCAGTGTGGCCTCTTCCCTAGGCTCTTGCTGGCTGGCTGGCCGAGGTAACACTACCCTGCCTTCTGCACAGGGTCCTGGCAGCACCCTCAAGAGATTGCTCGCCGCTGGCCAGAGTGAGTGGCTTTGTCATCCCAGTGGTCCTGGGTTGGATCACCCTGAGGGTAGGACTCAGGCAGGCTGATGTAAAAGCCCTTATTGGGGAGCCGCAGCAGGTTCTCTGCTGTGTGCTGAGCTTCTGCTGACCACACTTGGGCTTCCTTTGGTTCACTCCGCCCCCCTGGAGTCCCAGAGGTGGGTGCCATTCCACTTTAGAGGTGATGAAGTAGACCCACCTAGTGTAACAGCCTGCCATCAGAGCTGCCTGCTACCCCAGATCCACGTCCTGCAGTGCCATACAGTGCCTCTGCCTTGAACGTGTGTCGTCATTGCCTGCACCACTGGGACCCTGTCCTCTGCTGCAGAAGGCCCAGATTCCTGCAGTGCGTACAGGGGTACAGGGTTCAGACTCCATTGGGCTTGGTTTGCCTCTGGATGCCCAGCTGAGAAGGCAAGGCCAGTCAGATCCCTAGGAAGCCGAGGCATGGCTTTCACGCTGTCCCCAAGTGTGGAATGAGCTCTACACATTAAGAATTGGCCGCGGGGGGATTACTGGGAACCAGAGCAGGACCAGATGGTGACTGCCACTGTGACTGTCCAGGGGCTTGCCTCTGTGCCACTGCTTCTTTAGCAGCAGCTTGCGAGTCTTGCATGGTGTTCACAGGCAGGTATAAGGTGAGCTAATAGGAGTAGGCTCAGTATATACCATTTCACAGACGTGGACACATGGCAGCATGCGTTGATATGCCCTCCTTTGGGTGGCTCCATTGTACCCTGACTGTCCCTACTTCAGTTCTAGGGCATGATGTGAAGGGGTCACCGTGGATGTGTGCCACTTTGGTTTGGGTTCTTTTTTTTTTTTTTTTTTTTTTTTTTTTATTTTCTTTTAGAAACAGAGTCACTGTGTAGCTCAAGCTGGCCTTGAAGTGTGATCCTCCTACCTCAGCCTTATGAGTGCTGGGATCTCAGGCCTGTGGCCCTAGCACACTGTTTTTAATATCATTTCATAGCATCTTGATAGAGTAGGTACAGCTGGAGCTCTTCCCTCGTTCCGTCAGCCCAGCCTAGCCAGAGAGGGATGGTGTTGGTGCTTGAGGCCCGGGGTGCCACGCATCTGGCTTCCTGAGCCAGGCAGTGGCCTCTCTGGAGTCTCAGACCATCCTCCAGCTGCTCCCAGGATCAGGGGTGCTCTTCAGTGAGCTTCTCTGGGTGCTGAGCTCAGAGAGCTGTGGCTACTGTTTTGATCATAGTTTACTTTTCTTTTTGGAGAAAAGAATAAATGATGTGTTTTACAGCGACAGTCTGTCTGGTATCATTGTACTGACAGCTGCTGCAGTCCTCCAGTACCAAGATGCTGATGTCAGGATCTCTGTTCAGAGATGTGGGCCCAGCATTCCAGCCACATTCTGCCCTGGATTTGCTACCATAGGTAGCAGTTACTAGTTCCTCTCTTGTCTCTGCCCCCTTTCCCTCTCAGCTTTGTCTGTTCCCCCATTCCCCTTACCTTGTAGATAGGTGTTAGAGTTCCCACCCGTCAGCATTGCCACAGCCACCTGTCTGATACCTCCTGTGTTCTCAAGAGCCCCATCCAATCCCCAGCATGCTTTGGTTACCCCAAAGGTCTTCTGGATCACAGTATAGACAGTGCAGAGGAGCATTCTGCCATGTGGGTGTGCCCTCCCTTCCCCCGCTGATATGGCTGTGTCTACTGTGAAAGGTGACATAGTCATGAAAAGGTTGCTACTTCTAAATGTCATCCCACGCAGGTGATACTCGGAACTGCCATAGACAACCACAGGGAGCTGCAGTGAAGCTGCACCTCAGTGTGGTAGAGTGGCACCCATGGAACGTGTGTCCTTAATGTCACTACTGAGCTGCGAGCTAATTGCCTGCCTTCTCAGACCATGTCCTGTGAGCTCTAAGTGTCTCCACTGCTGGACTGTTTTCTGTCACCCATCTTACCATGTTCTGGCCGGCTCTCTGGCAGAGTGGCTTTGCTATGACTTTAGCTTTGATGCCATCCCCTATGAGCGGCAGTGTGTCACATGCTGGAGGCCAGAGGTGTCTGGATTGGCTCCTCCCAAGTCTCTCTGCTGAGCCTGCTGCCCGTGTCTCCTGCACAGCTGTGTCCTGACTGAATAGGGACTACCAGTGATCTCATTCTCCCTTAGTCACCTACAGATTTATCTGCAGTCACAGGGCAGGGCTTGTGACCGCCAGCTCTGCAGGATCTGGAATCACCTAGGAGACACATCTCTGTGCATGGCTGTGAGGGTGTTTCCAGAGAGGCTTAGCTGAGGAGGGAAGACCCACCCTGAGTGTGCTGTGTCCCATGAACTGGAGAAAGCAAGCTGGGCGCCAGTGTACATGTCTCTCTGCCTCCGGACTGGATACAATGTGAGCGTCTGCCTCGGGCTCCTGTTGCCATGCCTCCCCACCCTGATAGCTGCCACCTTATTAACTGTGGCCCCATAAACTCCTTCATCCTTTAGCTTGCCACTTTGGGGGATTTTGTCACAGCAAGGATGAGAAAACTCACTAAATACAGGGCCTCAGACCTGCAAAAGTACCGTGTGACCTCTAACAGGCAGCCTTTTTGCGGCTATGGTACCAATTTCAGCCCGAGGCTAAATGCAGAATGAAGTTCTTCCCTGTAAAGCTAGTGTTAGTGAGGAGTTTTTAAAATATAAAGATTATTGCTGAGCGATGGTGGCACACCCCTTAAATCCCAGCACTTGGGAGGCAGAGGCAGACTGATCTCTGAGTCAGAGGCCAGCCTGGTGTACAGAGTGAGTTCCAGGATAGCCAGGCTACACAGAGAAACCCAGTTTTGAGAAACCAATATATAAATAAATCAGCACAGAGGAAATTTATTTGCTACAGAAGGACAAAGGTCAGAAAATAAGAGACAAAGACAGGAGATAGAAGATGAGGGAAAGGAACAAAGGAGAGGGGTAGGGGAATCTGTCCCAGAGGGACGAAGGATTGTCTCTGGAGAGGAGGTAGACATGGCCCATAGGCAAATGGCAGTTTATAAAGATTAGAGGGGGAAACTCTGTGTTAGGATGAAGTGTTTTGTTTTGATTGGGCGTGTTAATTAGGGCAGCCAAAAAGGGCTTTTGATTGCTGGACTTCAATACTTTGATAACTGGACCTTGGTAATCAGCCTGGGGTTTGTGTGGTCAAATAAGGGGAATAGACCTTGGTGGCTAGCTTTAGGAATGAATTTAATAGTTCAGCAAAGCAGAGGGAATGGGAAGGGCAAGGCCTGCCAGAGCCATGTTGGCCATGCTCGGGCCTGCTAGAGTTCCTTCAGTGTGTATGAGGTTTTTACTTGCACCGCATGGTGGCAGTGCATGCAGAGATCAGAAGAGGGCATCGGATGCCTTAGGACTGGAGTTACAGAAGGTTGTGAGCCACCACGTGCACTGGGACCAAAGCTGGGTCCTCTGCAAAAGCAACAAGCACTCTTTTGTTGTTGTTGTTGTTGTTGTTTTTTAATTTTTTTTTTGTTTTTGTTTTTCAAGACAGGGTTTCTCTGTGGTTTTGGAGCCTGTCATGGAACTAGCTCTTGTAGACCAGGCTGGTCTCGAACTCACAGAGATCCGCCTGCCTCTGCCTCCCGAGTGCTGGGATTAAAGGCGTGCGCCACCACCGCCCGGCTGTTGTTTTTTTTTTTTTTTTTAAAAGGATTTATTTATTTCTTATGTATACAGTGTTCTGCCTGCATGTGTGCTTGCAGACCAGAGGAGGGCACCGGATCTCATTACAAATGGCTATGAGCCACCATGGGGTTGCTGGGAATTGAACTCAGGACCCCTGGAAGAGCAGCAAGCACTCTTAACTGCTGAGCCATCTCTCCAGCCCTGTAGTCAAGTTTGATTTTGTAGAATTGTAGTTTTGAGACACAAGCAAGGTTAAACACCCCAGAAGCTCTGGCTGGGTGCTTTCAACCCCACAGTGGCTAGTAATGGAGCACCCCACATTCTAAAACAGTGGTTCTCAGCCTTCTTAATGCTGCGACCCTTTAATACAGTCTTCATGTTATGGTGACCCCCAACCATAAGATTACTTTCGTTACTACTTCATAACTGTAATTGCTACTGTTATCAATTGTAATGTTAGATCAGGTTGGCCTCGAACTCACAAGAGATCCACTTGCCTCTGCCTCCCTATTGCTGGGATTAAAGATGTCTGCCACTACCGCCTGGCTTAGTCCTGACTTTTCTATACCACTACTCCACTACTTAGTCTCCATGTGCAAGACTAAGGATGGCAACATGGGCTGGCGGAGTGACTGTGAATGGCTGCACAAAGCACAGCAGGCAAGAGTAGTTTTTGCCAACTGCTCCAGACTGGTTTCAGGCTTGGCTGAGCCCATGCTAGGTCTTGTATTTAGCAGATCCAGGAAAACACAGGTTTATAAAGAAGGAACCCATATCAGGAGGAACAGTGACTGAAGGGGCTGTCAGATGCTCCAGACCCTTCTGTGGGGGTCCTTCCTCCTTCCCTCCCTCACTTCCTTCCTTCTTTCTTTCATTCCTTTGAGACAAAGTTTCTCTGTGTAGCCCTGGCTATCCTGAAACTCGCTCTGTAGACCAGGCTGGCCTTAAACTTTTTTNTTTTTTTTTTTTTTTTTTTTTGGTTTTTCGAGACAGGGTTTCTCTGTGGTTTTGGAGCCTGTCCTGGAACTAGCTCTTGTAGACCAGGCTGGTCTCGAACTCACAGAGATCCGCCTGCCTCTGCCTCCCGAGTGCTGGGATTAAAGCTGGCCTTAAACTTGATCCACCTGCCTCTGCCTCCCAAGTGCTGGGATTAAAGGCATGTAACCACCAACCACCCAACCTGTGGGATCTTTCATGATGAACACCACTGCCTTCTGGGAGCACAGAGATAGGGGAGCACTCACCCTGTAGGTAGGTGACTTCCTAGATGGGGTCTTCATAGCCTCTATTGGAGAATATGCATCAGTGAGCCCCAGGGGTCTGAAGACAGGACTAAAGATTTGGAAGTGCTGGTGCAGTTCTCCTAGCAGGGGCCTTACTGTTGCCAGTGGGCGTTGTACCCTTGAAAAACGAGCTCCCAAGCCTGCTCTCAAGCGCAGGGGCCTGCTGCTGGTCCACTGCATCTGCTTGGCAGCAGGGTCTTAGCAGTCCTGTCCAGCTGGAGTTTGCTTGTGTTTATACTTGGGTGAGGAAGGCCTGCTCAAGCGTGGCTGGGGCCTGTCATACTTGTTTTTATTGCTGTGAAGAGACACAATGACCCACAGCAACTCTTATAAAGAAAATACTTAATTGGGGTGGCTCACTTACAGTTTCAGGGATTCATTCCATTATCATCATGACTGGGATCATGGTGGTGTGTAAACAGACGTGGTGCTGGAGAAGTAGCTGAAGTCTTACGTCTTATAGGCAACAGGAAGTTGACTGAGACATTGGGTGGTATCCTGAGCATAGAGAACCTGAAAGCCTGCCCCCACAGTGACACACTTCCTCCAGCAAGGCCACACCCATCCCAAACAAAACCATACCTATGTTACTCCTGAGACTCTGAGGGCCAATTACATTCAAACTTCCACACTCGGTATCAGCTAAGAGTTGGGAAGCATCTGGCTCCTTAAAAGGGGGGGGGGGTCATGAAGAGGAGGCTATGCAGCATACAGACCTAAGGAGGCCTGCAAACAGGAGGGCTCCAGGTGAGTAACACCAAGGCTGGCCAGGAACCCTCCAGAAGCAGGGCTGGCCCAGCCATACCCAGCTTTACCTTTAGCCCCCTGAAGAGAGTCAGCTCATGCTGTTCAAATCATGTCATTAGTCAAGGATGACCCAGGACACTGACACCAGGTCCCTCTCCCTGTCAGAGCTGTTATTTCTTCCTGGAACTTGGAATGTAGAGCAGGCTGGCCTTAATCTTGGAGAGATCTGCCTGCCTCTGCCTCCTGAGTGCTGGGGTTAGAGGCGCGTACCACCACTGCCTGGCTGGCTTTATGTTCATAAAAAATTGTTCAGTGAAATTTGTCTTGGGATTAGGACAGAATTTTCACCAATGTCTGAACTGGCTTTAAGCACTCTTATTCTGTGTTTTGTGTGAAGTGGCACTTTTAGCACTGACCATTATAAAATCAAAACTTTTTTTATTTTCGAGACAGGGATTCTCTGTAGCTTTTGGTTCCTGCCCTGGAACTATAAAATCAAAATGTTTAACCAAAAAAATGTTTGACTCTTAAAAGATGTTGAATATTCAGCCAAGATTTATTTTTTATTTTAATTTAATTTTATATGTATGCATGTTTTGTCTGCATGTATGTCTATACCATGCTTATACCGGGTACCCACGCAGGTTAGAAGGTGTCAGATCCCTGGACTGGTGTTAGAGATGGGTGAGCTGCCATGTGGGAACCAAACCTGGGTCTTCTGGAAGAGCAGCCAGTGCTCTTAACCGCTGGGCCATCTGTCAGCCCCTAAAGGATTCTCTTGACTGGGTTAGTTGAGATGGGAATACCCACACTAAGTATGGTAGGCACCATCCCTTGGGCTGGAGTCCTGGCGAGAGCAAGCTGAGTGCCCGTGTTCATCTTTTCCTGCTTCCCCTGTGATGTAATGTGAACAGCTGCTTGGAGCTTCTGCTGTCGTGCTTTTCCCACCATGATGGACCGCACCTTCACCCATGAGCCAGATAAAACTTTTCCCCTCCACTTGCACTTATCTGGTGTTTATCACAGCAGCAGAAAAGGGAACTGAGGCAGGTGTCCAGAAAGACCCAGTTGTCAGAGACTTGGCCTAGCCACTTGGGACAGAATAAGGGAAGGAAGGGTGCCCTGAGCCCTGAGCAGGGAGGCCCCACACAGATGACCCCAAGGGTGAGCTTGCTCAGTTTTAAAGTGGCTCCCAGCTGACAGGCTGTCTCAGCTGTCTCTTGGGGACAATTCAAAGGCTTAATGGATGCCACAGTCTAAGAGGCTCAAGACCCACTGAAGCCCCTTCAGCAGAGCATTCTGTATTCTCACTCCATCCTTCTTATGTGCCCTGTGAGTAACAATGCCCCCAGATGCGGGCCCCGAGGTCTGCAGCCCTGAGCTGCCTGCCCACCATCCCCACCACCCGAGGCTTTTGTCTGCTGGCCCTGTAGTGTGGTGCTGAGCTGCGGGGGCTCTGTGGGCCAGGGAGCTGGGAAGGGATTAGAGGTCCTGCTCTTGCTTTGCCCTCTTGCACAACCCTTTGATCAAAGACATTCCTGGGATGACAGCCCTGAGAGGCCAGCTCAGCTCAGCCAGGGGTACCGCATCCCACCAGTACTGTGCTGTGGCCCTGCGGGGCCCCTGTATACAAGCCTGTCTACCTCGTGTTAAACAGTCTGTGCACACCACCTAAGACACACACAGGCTGTCACAACAGCCCAAGTCCAGGTTTGCCTGGCAGGCACACCTGGCAGTGCCAGCTCCCAACTCTGGCCTTGTGTGGCCTGCACAGCCATGCCACTAAATGCAGAGGCCAGATCCAGTCCTGTGGAGCCTGATAGACATTGTCCGTCTCCTGGACTGCCATGGCAAGGGCTCTGGAGCATCGCAAGGAGGACACACGGTCCCGCTCCTCTGCCTTGTGTCCCATCCCAGAAGTCCTCAGCCCCCACTGCTGGCATCTCGTGGGCCCCAGGAGCCCAGGTACTCTGTAGGGTCAGTGAAGGTGGCTTGCTTTCTAGGACAAAGTGCTGCAGCTGGGCTGGCCTGTGAGCAACAGGTTAACTTCCTCACAGCCCCAGGATGTGAGGTCAGGAGGGGAGGCCACACAGTCACCTGTGTAATGCTATGCAGAAGCTCCACAGAGGCCACACTTTGAGTCCTCTAGGTCAAGCAGAAATGAAGGTTCGGGCAGGTCCAGGCAGTGAAGTAACCTAGAACGGGAGTCAGGAAGCTGAGGTTCACCGAGGCCAGGCAGGTTCAAGACCTTGGCCTGGCTGAGAGGGGTGGGATGGCTCAGCAGGATGGGGGCTCTCTGCATGTAGGAAGCCTGGCCAGGATACTGGGCAAGGATCCGTGGAGCTGGTGGAGGCAGAGAATGGAGAGAGCTGGTCTTTGGGCTTCTGAGAAGAGACAGTTGGGCGGGCCAACTCCCTGAGCCTTTGTTTCTGAGGCTGTCCAAAGGCCACTGTACCATCACCCCATGAACACGAGTGTCTACTCATCCCACTGGGGATTTGCTGTACAGTCTTTTTGTTTTTGTTTTTCGAGACAGTATTTCTGAGTAGCAATGGAGCCAGTCCTGGAACTCACTCTATAGATCAGGCTGGCCTCTGCCTCCTGTGTTCTGGGATTAAAGGCGTGCACTGTCACCACCCAGCCTACCCTCCAGTTTTATCAGCAAAATTCGAGGGTTAGAATCAGAGCCTGGAGGCCATTGGTATCTGGGGTTAACTTCTGAGCCATGTAAAGAGGCTTGGACATCAGCCGTAGCTGGGCACCACAGACCACTGGATAAAGACACAAGCCAATTGCACCTTTAGAGACCACATCATGGTGTGAGCTCTCCGCATTTGATGGTGATGCTTACCCATTCCACTTGGGTGTCCTTCCACGACCACCCTTGATAGGCAATGGTGGAAAACAGCAGCAGCAGCAGCCTGCCTTCCTCTAGTGTATGCTCAGCCCCACACTATTGGTGTCTGCATTCCTAGGACCACTCTGCTGCACTGGCCGCCAGCCTGCTTCATCCCAGCGTAGTTTATTGTGTCTCCCATACTAACCTTCCCATCAGCCCACCTGAATGTGATAAGCTTGCTCTTCGGTGCTTCTAAGATCCAATGGGAAAGCAGCTCTTCCACCTCCCTGCCCTTTGGCCTGTTCCCGGAATGCTGAAGGCCCTATACCAACTCTCCTGGACATGTGTGGTTGTGGGGAGAGCTCTGCCAGTTCCTGGGTCCTCAGCCTTGTAACAGGCTCTGAAGCTCGGATGGAGCTGATACACCTTTCTGGACCCTGCCCTCAGGTAGCCGCTTTGCCCAAGATGAGGACTTCCTAAGTCTTCCTAAGCCACCAGAGGGGACACAGGAGTCTCCAGCTCTAGTATTTCCTTTAAACTCGGGGGTAGGATGCCTGGTAGGGGCTCCATCTGCCTTTGGGTCACGTCCCTTTCTGCTTTCATCTTTGGGTGGCACCATTCAGGCCAGGCATTAACTACATTCCCCATCTTTCAGAAGGGCAGGGGCCAGCCTGGCACCAACACAGCCAACCCGAGACCCAGGTCTTTAGGTGGCTCCCAAATGGCTACATAGGGTGATGGCAGAGGACCCCCAGTGCTAGGGAGAGTCATGCCGCCTATTCCCCAAGGGTTGGCAAACAATGCCAGTCATGAACTGCCACCCAGAGGACGTCAAAGGAGTCCAGCCAGGCCACTCAGGTCCCCTGTAACTGTGTGAAAGGCCACCTTGGGCCTTGGCCCTAACACTCAGCATTGCTCTCTGGGCGTTTGGCAGCACCTAAGGATGGTGATTCACCCAGAGCAAACACCCATTTGTGCCAGACAAGGGGCAGTGAACGCGGGCTCTGTTGATCTTCCATCTGCAAACACACAGGAGGGCAAGCTGGCAGCGACAGACTCAGAGCCGCTTCTCATCAGTGGCTGCCGCCGGTCTCCCTGACGCCAGAGGCTGCCACCTGCAAACACCCTTTCCTTTGGGAACCCCACCCAGGTTGGTCCCACATGGTTATGGTAACAGTGATATATCCCCAATTCCTTTTCCCCAAGGCCCAGAAAACAGACAACACCAAGCTGGGATTTTACCAATTTTATTTCTAGATTTTTTTGTGTCTTTTTTTTTTTCTGGACCATGCTGGTCACAAGTCCGTGCTGGGAAGCGCCATGGTGTGTCAACCAGAAATACACAAACCCAACTTGGCCATCAGCCAGAGCCCCTCAAAGCCTTTCATGTCACAGGGCAGACTCCGTGGACCCACCACCAGCCTTTGGCCTTTTGGCCAAGCCCTCACCCATCACCATGAACACAGTGGCCCTCAAGGGTCTTGCCTGGTTCAAATGCCTCAGCTAGGTTGGTGGTGACCTTGGAGGTGACCATTTTGGTTTGACAGCTAGCTAGGGAATTTGGAGGCCTGCAGCACTGGAGCTGGCTTTGCCGAGGCTGAAGTCTTTAAATTAGCACAATGCTGTAATTAACACAAAACAAGACAGAATACTAGAACCTAACAATAAATGATGCACCGGAGACTCAGAACAAATTCCTCCGGGCCCAGCAGCATGGTGGCATGCACAACAGGCCGCTACAAAAATAACAATATTGATAATTAACAAAGAAAAATACAGTTGTCCCGACTGCTGTGATGCTATATGTCCCAGATCAAATGAAGGGCCCAGCATGACAGGTGCAGGGGGATGATCCCCACCAGACCAGTCCCAGGAGGCAGACTACCCGCCTGCTAGGCCCATGCATGGCTAGGTGAAACATGAGGTATTGTGAACAGGAACCTGTTTTTTTTTTTTTTTTCTTTTTTTGGGAATACAGCGGTAATCACATTAAGCCAAAATTGATCACAACTTAAAAAAAAAGTACAAAAAAAGGGCATCTGTAAATACAATCTTCTATGAGGAAATTAAAACTTGAACATGGCAGTCTATGACATTGTAAAAAAAACAAAACAAAACTGACCCTCCAATAGCAGCGAAAACAATGTGAAAGATACGAAGCGACGCGAATCTGGGTCCGAACGTCCGGGATGCCGGGAGCCATCGGTAGCAGCACTGTGAAAGGAGCCGCAGCCTGTCCCGTGTGGTCCCTACCCTCCACACACTTCCCTCACGTCCTCTCTCCAGCCTCCCGCTTGTCACCTCCCTTCAACACTTTCTAATTAGAAAAGCACAATACAAATTACCTACTGTTGGGGGGGGGGCGGCAAGAATGTGCCAGAATAAAACTCATTTGGGATCCCCTAGTTTTCCTTAGTTCGGATGGCTCTCCAATGGGGCCGTTTGGGTTTGGAAAGTTAAGCAAACCAAATGCCCGTCTTTATATGATTCTTGAGAATCCCTCCCCTCCCCACTAAAAGACCAATTTCTCAGACATGGCACCTTCGCCAGCAAGGGCAGAAGGTGTGCATTTGAATCAAGGGAGATCACATTGCTGTATAAATCATACTGGCCATGGGCAGCCTTTCCAATAAATACTCTTCTGTAGCCTTAAGTATAAATTAGACATTTTAGTGTTTAAAATCCCTCACTGTCCAGGTAATGCCACCACAGTTCCTACTTCCAAATACCAGCTGGCACCAAAGGATCCCTTCAATTCACCTTCTCTGTAGGACAGATCCTGGCGGTGCGAGAACAGAGTTCTCTCTCCTTGACCCAAAGAAACTTCCCAAGTACCCCATGCTACCAGCCCTACTGTGCCACTCTATTGAGAAGCCATGAGTGTGTGGATACCCCCAACCATTCCATTAGGACTCCCCCCCCCCCCACACACACACACTAGCGACACTGCCTCCAGCTAGCTGACCGAAAGTGCTTTGAGATGGAATGGTTTTGGAACATGGAGAAGGAAAACACAAGAAAACAGAACAAACCACACACACAAGAGAAAAGCTGTGGGTTTAACCTGATGTGAGTGGGCTGCAGGGCCGCCAGGCAAAAACCAGCGTCTCTTTAAACAGGAACTACAAAATAGGAAGATTACAAAAATAGAATATACGATGCCACTATCTCATCCCTGCTCTACTGGAGCACACTGCTATGGACCTGCACGTTGGGAGAGAGCCCTGGGGGGTGCCACACGCTGCAAGACCGCTAGAGGTCGCACCGACCATCAGTAAGTGAAGAAGTCTACTCATCCCTGGGAAACAGGTGACTGGCAGTGGCAGCCATGAACATGCAGGGGAGCGAGGCTGAGGACCGCCCAAGCTGTGTCTTTCAGCAAAGCGAGCACGTTCTCTAGCTAAAACTCTTCTACTTTAACAACGGTTTGCTCTATTTGCCTTTTTTTTTTCTTCCTTTTTTAAAGCAATGTTTCTCAAGCTTTTTAAACACATAAAATCAAAATCCTTCTGGACACTTCCTGTGTGTTAATCCTATTCTTACAACAGACAAGCACATTAATAGAAAACTAGTTGATTACTGGGGTATAAAATCCTATTTTTGTAGCACCCTCCGCCCTACACTCAGGGTGATGCAAATTCTATCTCTCTCTCTCTCTCTTTAAGACAACTTTCAGGTATTTTTTTTTTTCTCTTTTGCTTAAGTCAGATAGAAAGGAGAAAGATTAAAGAAAAACAACCAACAAAGAGAACAAAACTTCCCTTTCTGGTAACAAATGTCCCTAAGAGGAACATCGTTAGGAGCACCCCGGGCTAGCTCCTTTCTCATCGCGGGCTGCCACTACTTAGTGGCTCCCGCCTGGCCGGTGGTGGCCTTCAGATGTCCACATCTCGCACATCGGTGGGTGTGCAGGCCAGGTCAGTCTCTCCCTGCGCTTCCCCCTCCTCCTCGGTGGCCTTGGGGTCGATGTTCTGCTGGGCCTGACGCAGGCTGGACTCCAGAAGAGCTTCAATCTGTTCCTGGCAGGCGCGGAGGCAGTCCTGGAGAGGCGGGCGGAGATGGAGGGGGTCCTTGTTTAGCCAAAGGCTAGTGGCCAGGGCCTTGACCTGCGAGGCAGGCTTTGCTAAGGGTAAGGCTGGAAGAAACTCCTCGAGCCACCCCCAAATCTGTGAGCAGTAAGAGAACTAACTACAAAGGATTAGAGAGCAAGAGTGCCACCTCTGCCCCTGCCCCCGAGTCACGGGACACCTGCTTGTCCACCCCAGGTCTACCCAGCAGAGATTCCTCCCCGGGCCTCCTGCAGCACTGCCTGACACATCCTCCCGGGAACTCCACCTTTTTTTGGATGCAGTTTCTGTAGGTGGTTCTGGGAGGTGAACCCAGCCTACCATAAGCACCTGTGACAGATTCTGCCTGGCTGAGGGAATGCACCTCCACCTCTTCAGGTTCCTCTTTTGGGGCTGTATCTTGTACTCCCCACAAGGAGCACCTATCTCTCCCTCACAGCCTCTGCCCCGGGTGGCCTCTGAGGGAATCCAGCTCCAGGGTCACCACTGGAGCCTGGAAAGCATTTTGCCCGGAATGAGACTGATGAACTTATTAAGCCCTGCCTAGATGGGATGAGGCTAGGGCACTGTGTACATTCCTCAAGCCAGTAGTACTTCTGCAGAAACCCTGGGGAGCCCCCACATTCAGAGTCTGGGTATTGTTCCCCTTTGTTTGACAGGTACTATGCCTAAGGAGGGTGGCAGGGCAAATGGCCCCATTTTACAGAAGGGGCAACTGAAGCACAGGTGGCCTGGTGTGGACCCACAGGCATCCCTGAGCCTCTCTCTGAAGTCCGCAGGCTCCCACCTATATCACTTACCCCCCCCCCATTCTCAGGAGCCCCAGATGCTTGGGGGAAGGAGGCCGCATGCTGAGGTACACTGGAGGAGTGCGGGAATTAGGGGTCCCTGTGGCTGATGTCAGAAGCCTTCCACATGCCCAGTGACTTTGACCTACACCGAACTCTCAGCTGAGTCCAAGCCAGAACTGGACTTTTGTCTGTTCTGCCTATGCCAGCCTGCAATGTCCTCGAGGACACCGTCATGGCCAGCACTCCAAGCAGCCATCAGCCATACCCCTCGGTGAGAAGGTGCTCCAGTGTGGCACAGCATGCCACCTACCCCCAGATTTCTAGAATGTGTCTTCTGCAAGTAGAAGGCCTATAGACTACACTGAGGGAGATGTGGTCCTATGGTAGCTGGGCCAGACTTCAGCTTCACCTGACAGTATATCATGCCCCTGCCCCGCTTTTAGGATCAATGGCTTCTGGAAGATCCCCAAACCTCAAGTCTGGGAAGAGGCTGGTGGGGGCCCTGGTTTGGCTCCCTCTTGCTACAGAGGTCAGTGCTCCACCTCTCACAGGCTCAGCCTGGTCAGCGTCTTGACATTGCCCCCAGCAGGGTTCCCTGGCCCTCACCAGAGGCAGCCTCCATCAGTGAGACTCACTCACCGGGTCACACTTGATCACTCTGGAAAGAAAGTGCGTTGTGCGGTAGCAGGACAGGTAGTTGTTGGGGCTGCCCAGGTTCAGGCCTTGCATCGCAGCCACCACGCTCCCAGCAGCCACCATGGAGGGCGGGTTGGAAATGAACTTCACATCTGCAACAGAGAGGGACAGAGGTGGCTGTGAGTGGGGACAACTACAAGCCCGTGATTCAGTCCCCACCCAGCTCTCGGCACAGCCTCACCCAGTCAGTCCTCCAAACCTCTACATGCTTGCTTTAACTCCAGCTCCTTTGGAGACAGCTAGGTGGCGCTAGATGCATAGTGTTAAGGCCTGCCACCCCAGCACTAAGGAGGATCAAGAGTTCTAAGCAAGTTCTTGTCTCGCTTTAAAAAGTGGAGTGGCTGACCCTGGCCCCGGGGTTTCACCCCAGCACCTCAAGCAAACACTAAGGAAGAGTTGGTTAGGTCCCCTTTGTGGCTTTAAGCACTTCCAAGTTTAAGGAAGAGGACACAGTACCGAATTCAAAAGGCGCAGGCTCTTAACCCTTTAACCCAGAGCCGGATGTGGTGCTTTATATCAGCATTCCCAGTATTTGAGAGGTTGAGGCAGGGGGAATGCTGTGTGTTCCAGAGCCAGTCTGGCAGCACGCCAAGGCTGCTCCTCAGAAAGATGACAGTAAGTTGCAGGGGTGACAGGAGCAGGCCTCCAGAAGGCTAGGATAGCCGCCACAGAAGGGATGCTCCTCCAGAGGACTGACTCTCAGAAACCCCCACAAAGCCATTTCTCTAGTCACAAACATTGTCCTGCATCCTTTTCAGGCTGCTGTCCTGGTTCACGGATGCCAGGTTAGGGCAGAGGACATGCGACTCCAGACCAGGTAAACCAGGTGGAAGTAGCCCCAGAACTCTAGGCCAAGGTCCCTTGTGAGGGAAGTCTCTCTCATATGCACAGGCCCCAAGGGGGAACCCCAGGGGAGTGCCAGCCTGCCCCACTGTTAGAAAGCTGGGGTCATGTTCCCCCACAGTACTGCAGCGGGGTGTCACTTCAGGACTCTATCTGGGGTCACCAGCTGTCTGCCTCTTTCACCCAATGGACCCAGCGTTGCAGTGGCGTGCCGCACCAATGGAATGCCTCCCCATCAACGCTAAGCCCACAAGTTGCTTCCCTGTGAAGTAGGGGTTCCATGCCAGAGGAGGACACGGGAAAGAACAGGTGTCACCCGGTGCCTGGGACAGGGAGGCTTTAAGAAAGTGTACGGGAACCATGAGGGGAGAGGGCTGGCGTGGTGAGGCGGCCCTTTGGAGACTACCCTGACAGAGTGTACAGCTCTGGCTCTTAAAGGTTGGGGGGGGGGAGTACCAGGAAGAGCAGCCACACAGAAGGGAGAAAGACCTCCAGGTGGTCCCAAGGACTTAGCTCACTCAGTCCAGTGAACGGAGACATCGTTTTTTCAGGGAGAGAAACTCCAACCACTAGCTGGCACATGGGCCAGAGCCCCCAGCCCGCCACTTGTTTTTCCCCTTCCTGAGTGCAGCGGTATGGATCCATTATGTCCTGTAAGGAGCCCTAACATCTGCTCCCTCACACTGCCTGGTTGCTGCTGGCTCAGCTGTCACCCAGCTCAGTGGCACATACCAACACCCTTCATTTAGCTCAATTTCCCGTGCACTCTGGTCACCTGTGCATGCCAATGTGACCAACCCCAACCCTAGGTTAGTGTACTGTTCACACGGTCATGACCCAGGTCTGGGGGTATCCAGAAGGGAGAAGAAAAGTCACACCCTGCCATCTCCTAGAAACCTTGCCACATGGACGGCAGATCTCCTGGCCTTGAC